CCCCAGCGCATGTTTCAGCCACTGCCAGCCGAGGCATCCTGGGAATTACAAAGGCTTGTTTTCTGTTTGCAATAGGTGCAGTACTTCTTCAAGATTCTGGACAACTGAGAGCCTCTGTCCCCACCCCACTCACAAGACATGCAGACAGAATGGTGTGTTCATTTATTTATTTGTCCAATGTTTCAACCTGACTGAAATACAAGATCAACAAGAGCACTGTACTCCTGGCTATTATTACATGTTAGAACATAGAGTTTTGCACTTTAGACGACATTTAACACCATTCTATGGGGTACTGCATTGCTTTTATAAAGTTTAAAATAAAGATTTATTTTCAAACATGTGACTTTGGTTTATTTCATACATTACACTTTCTTGCAGAAAAAATAAAATTGTACAACTGCATAAATATAAAATTCTTCCACCATGAAAATGGTTAAAACATTCAATAAAGACATTAGCACCACAGTGTGCGATGCCTCCAGCAGGAAAAGAAAAAAAGAAGAAAAAGAAAATATACAAAGCAAAGAGTTATGCCTATCACTGAGGAGAGCGATAGCGTGACCCAGTCTCTCACACAACATACTGGAGGATGTGGGAAGAGGTGGAGAGACAGCACTCGCTACCGAGCACAGTACGAGACACAAATGTCTCTTTAGTGTCACTTCAGTTAGTTCCCCTGCCACCCCTCCAAATAAAATACCCTACCACCACAGAAGAGTCAGAAGCCTTATGGAGTGCTGTTAAACAGAGTCTCACAGGTGGGCCTTTCTTGGAAAAGGAACAAAATGATGAGAAGTTATCATGCCAGTTCTAGTCCCATTGAGTATTTACACCTTGGACAGCAAAAGTCTTTGCTCACGAGAAGTAGAAAACAGATACAATACATGGCTTGAAAAATGACCAGAGTATGCACCTATAGTACTGTACACTAAATAAAATACACAAGGCAGCAATACTTAGGGGCCAGAAACACTGCTTACTACAAGTCAGTTATGGAATCATAATTTACAGTAAAAATGGGCATGTCCCAAGGCTCAATTTCATCTTCTTTTGTCATTTACAGTAGAATAAATATTTGTCGCTATTGCTACACTTTGTTTACATTCTAACCTAGTAAATGCAGAAAGCTAGTGTAAAGCATATAGATTACGTGTAGGTCCCATACGTATGACAGTTTGTTCAAGACTAGTAGGTTTTCTTTTTTGTTCTTTTTTTTTCTTTTTTTTTTTAACCTTTTTAAATGGCTAGGAGGAGGGGGGAGGGGGAGGACAGAGTTGTGCTTACAATCAGCTGCTTTTTATGTCAAATTTAATATCAAAGCGTCCCTGGAAGCGGTCTTTGTCGCTGTACTGGATGTTCTGCCCGTAGGCCTTGCATTCCACGCGCACCTCCATGTCATAGGTCAGGTTGGTGAACTGCACTGCCACCAGCGGCTGCAGGTACCGCGGCTGCAGGAGCTTCCCATAGTAGGGATAGTACTGCAGGCCAAAGCCAGGGTAGCCGCCCATCCCATAGTACTCCACTGTGCCTATTTTGTCTGCATCCTCGTCTCGCTAGAAGTGTGAAAAAGAAGAACAAACATTGGCATCTACCCAAACTCTACCTTTTGCAGCCCTTTTCCCTCACAGCATCCGTCGTTCTTCACCGAGACAGTGACCTCTCTTTGGCCATTGCTGACCCTCACCTCCACAGCATGAGGACATCCCAGTGACAGGGAGGACACGTAGGCACTGTCTAACCAGTAGCTGCACATGAAACACCTCCCAGCACGCATCAGCCAGGAAAAGGACTTCTCTTTATTCAAAACCTCAACCCCTTTTATGCATTCAGAAACCACCACAGCTTCCTGTTGCACCAGTGCATTAGCTTTGGCTAAGAACAGTTCGATGCTTCTCAGCTGCTTCACCAATGCTAAGTAAAATAGTCCTTTCAGCCATTTGTGCCAAGAGCTCCAGTATGGCACTTGGAAGCAAAAATGTCTACTTTTGAGGATACCTTCTACTACCTGGCCCTGCTTCTACCCCTCCCTGTGAGGGCAGCTGTCATCCATCATCAGTGGGGTTCTGAGAAACTCCTGTCCCAAAGGGGCTATCCCAAGTAAGAACCACCCCCGCTGACCGCAGGAAGGCAGAGGGGACAGCTACACAGACAAAGACTCAGCCTTCCCCTGCAGCTTCCCAGCTCTGCTCTATTATATTTCAACTTACCTTGGCAGCGCAGTGGACAGGGATGAGATGTGGGTGGTATTTTGCCATAATCTCTGAAGGGAGGGTCGCATTTGCCAGAACCTAGAAGAAACCCAAAGCAAAGGGATGTTATACACCAGACAGCAGCTCTTAGTGGCGACAGACGAGCAGTGTGACACAGCTGGGAGCAGCGGGACCTAACCCAAGCAGAGCTCTTGTCTGTTCTTACGTCTTTACTGCTGTGGGTGCCAAGGCAAGTACATCAGGGTAGTTTTAATTCCGTGGTGTCACCCGTGCAAACCCAGGCAGTGGCAGGGGGGATTTGCCAGCTGCCTGCCCGGTGTGTGAGCCAGGACTGGAAAGCCACAGGACAGCACAGAGAGCGGCACCCACACCCTGACGTTGCTGAACTTCGACACCACTGCGGGGAAGAACAAAGGGTCCGAGCGCATCAGGGAAAGGTGGGAGCGCCAGTTCCGGCGTTGGTCGCTGGTCTCTACATACGTGCAGCAGCTTTGCTTCACAGCCTTGCAAGACAATACTGCTTTACATGCACCCTGCCCAAAACAAGAGCCACAGGGTCTCTGCTGGAGCATGGAATGACGAAAACAAATACTGCCTCAGATACGTATGTCACTGCACAACAAAACATGTAAAATCATTCCCTGACTAGATCCTGTTCAATACAGCCTGGAGCTCTTCAGAGCTCTGTGGCAAAGCAAAGGGGAACACACCAAGCCCTTCTTCTCCCCAGTCATCAAACATGCACATTTTATGTCATCCCGCAGCCACCACATGCCAAGCTCATCACATGCCTGCTAAAATGTGCCCACTGTTTCCACCCTGGATCAGATGAGCCACAATTCACCTCACTTCTTTTAGCAGACAGGTTCCCTTCAAAGAAAAATATTCCTCACAATTCATTAGCTAGACAGCAACAGTTCTTGTCCTCAGCTGCACTGATGGATGGTGGTGAAGGCCCTTAGCAAACCATTTGCTCTGTTGTCCATCCTGAAGATGGAGTGGCAGGTTTTGCATACCATCTTATTCAATAGCATGTGCTCTGCCACTTGTAATTCTTAGGGAATTTTTAAGCATTTTAACTGTTGTGGAAAAAACCTAGAAGTAAAAGCTATTCGTGTCCAGACTGACATCCTTCAGCATCACTGCAACCATGCCTTCAGGTGCAGCATGTAGCAAGCGGGTGACAAGACATCCTACAGTATTGGGGAAACTGTGTTAAATAACTAAAGATGTCCTCACCTTCCTTGCAGTAAGCGCTGTGCCTGACGCTCAGATGTCATTTACACTTTACAGCCTATGTTTCAGTCTGATAGTTAATATTAGCGCTACTTCATTTCATTAAGTGGCTTAGCAACTCCACACTGCCTGAGGAAAGAACGGAGTAGACTGGAGCCTAACACAGTGTACTGTCTTACTACAGACAGAGTTGGTCTGGGACGCTCCCATGGAAACACATGGGAACTTTAAAATGGGTTTTCTCATTTGAAGAAGATCCCCCATTACAGCAATTCATTTGGCAGGCTCTGAAGTTACCAGATAAGTAAGCAGGAGCCTGCACTGCGAGGTTCATTGCTACCAACTTGTGGGGTGCAGTTTTCATTGCTTTTTAGTGAAGAGTATTTTTAAAGCCAGTTGCTCTATTTGTCTCACAGCTTCTCCTCTGCAGAAGGGGTTTAATGCTGATCTCTCTCCTGAGACACAAAAGCAGGCACAGCAAATCTGCAGCCAACTCCTCCTCCTCCCTCAGTAGCTCCTGCTAGAAAGGGATGAGATACTTGCCTTAGGTTTGAAGCCGATAATTCTGTTGAGCTTGATGAGGATGCATGGTTTGCCATAACCGTACCCAAAGGTAGGATCATTTATTCCAGAACAGTTTTCCAGCCATTCACGTTTGAATTTGCAGACCTTCTTCTGGCCCTGGGCATCATTATATAGTCCTCTCTCTTTGTAATCGGTAGGAATGTCTGTCACAGGGGGAGGATGAAAAGACAACCATGTGCAACGTGATCTTCTGCTTGTCAGGAACAGCAACACTTACGCTTCACTGCGTAGTCTGGATTTTCCCCTCATCCAAACAGATGACACCCCAGACCTGCACCCAGCCCTCCCCACCATGCATGGGCTGGTCCCAGACCAGCAAGCTTGCAGGGCTTTTGGTTTTTAACTGAGGATTCTTCCAGATGACATATGGGTTGCCCTCAGATTTTACATGCACGTGTTGTGAGGTGACAGTCCCATTTGCAGTATTACATATAATCTATTAAAAGTCAATACCTCCCAGATGTTTTGTTGCATTGCATCAAGAGGACCAACACTGTCTTTAATCATCAGTAAAACCCCCGTGGCTTTCAGAGAGGATAAGATCAGTGCCATGTGCTTCCGACAGTCAGCTGAAACTTCCTCCCAAGCGTAATCTGGGAATTCCCAACCACACAACCTCCACAATAAGCTTCTAGATACACCCCTGGCCAAGTTTGCTCTGACCAAACTAATTTCACGAGCAGCCGTATGACTGAAACCAGAGCCTGCCAGTTTACCAACATGTCACTATATAAATATTTATACAAACACACATAAATTATAATATTTATATAAGTATTATAA